AGAGGGTTCAGAAACGGTTTACCAGGATGTTACAAAAACTAGGCAACCAGTGATCCTTCCTCAGAACTCCTCAGTTGTGGACCCGAAACATTAACTCTGATTTTTCTGCACAAACACTGCCAGACCTGGTGAGCTTGTCCAGCAATTTCTTTCTTTTTTTTTGTTGCAATTTCTTTTATTTGTTTCTGATTTCCACCATCCACAGTTCTTTTGGTTTTTAGCCATGATGTTGCTGGTTTGGACAGTATTAACTATGAGGAGAAATTGGGCAGGTTTGGTTTGTTTTTGCTTGAATGTTAAAGTATGAGGTGGGGGGGTGGGTGGCGACCTGGTAGAAGTTTACAAAATTATGACAGGCATTGATAACATGGATAATCAGAGACTTTTTCCCATGATAGAAATGTCAATTACTAGGAAACATAGGTTTAAGGTCAAAGGGGATAAGTTTAAAGGACATAGGAGAGGCAAAGGAGAGATAAGTGCCTGGAATATGCTACCAGAGGAGGTGGTGAAGGTGGATACAATAGTAATGTTTAAAAGGCATGTTGACAGACGTGTGAATTATAGAATCCCCACAGTGCAGATAGAGGCCGTTTGGCCCATTGTGTCTGCATCGACCCTTTGAAGAGCATCCCATCTACACCAACTCCACACCCCACATCCTCACATTTACTATGGCTAATCCCCCTAGCCTGCATATCCCTGGCATACCCGGTAGAAACTAAACCAGATGTGGGGCAAATGTGCCAACTCAAGACAAATGGTCTAAGGCTAGAATGAAACTTGAATACCTGACGCTGAGGCAGCAGTGCTAACTATTGTGCCACTCAAATAGGCAGGGAGTAGACAGATACAGACAGCATAGAGGCAAAAGATTTTTTGTTTAGAAAGGCATCATGTATTGGCATAGTTTTGCTGAGCCAAAGGGCCTGTTCCTGTGCCATACTGTTATTTGTTCTTTTATATGACTATGTTGTGACCATTTTTGATATCCTGTCACTTGAACCTCTGTTAATAGGTAAGAATCATAGAATCCCTACATTGTGGAAGCAGGCCATTCGGCCCATTAAATCCACACCATCCCTCCAAAGAGCATCCCACCCAGATCCACCCCCCCTACCCTGTCCTTGTAACCCTGCATTTTCCATGGCTAATCTACCTAGCCTGTACATCCTAGACACAATGGGCAATTTAGCATGGCCAATCCGCCTAACCTGCACATCTTTGGAGTGTGGGAGGAAACCAGAGCACCAGGAGGAAACCCACGCCGACGTGGGGAGAATGTGCAAACTCCACACAGACCGTTGCCCAAGGGTGGAATCGAACCTGTGTCTCTGGTGCTATGAGGCAGTAGTGCTAGCCACTGTGCTGCCCTGAAGATTAACAAAATCTGTTTTCTCTTTTTAAATTTAGTAATACAAAGTATCTTCTATTTTTGTTACTAAATCATTTTAAAATTAATAATGCAAATCTTTCTTCCAATTCTAGTTTTTCCCCGTTGCATTCCACCAGAAAAAGTGTTGCTTATCGCGTTGCAGCAAAAATATTTCTCCAAGATGCTGTAACCGTAGCAGTTTCCCCACCCACATGGGTCTAGTCTGTGGAGAAAATTTTTAAATACTAGTAATTCAGAAATGAGTGGCCTTTCATGTATTAGTTAGCGTAAAGAGTCAGGAAAAGTGCTGTACAAACTTTCAACTCCATTCATTAGACATCTGTCCCAGTGCCATTCTTGGATATTTTCCTTGGAGTCACTGTCTCACACTGCACCTGAAATCAACACTTCTAAGTGGTAGCTCTCAGCTTGCATGTATTATTTAATTTTGTTTCTTTATAAATCATTCTGGTTTCCAGAACTCAGCTCAAACTCCAGTTTGGTATCTATTCTTAGGATAGATGTGTTTTGAGAACCAATCATGAATTGTAACAGGGTTGATCAGATGCACACTAGCCATGCTCAAACAATCATTTCGGGGGAAAAAAGCTTCATGATCGTGTTGAAAGTGTATGCCTCGTGTGAGGGGAGAAGTTGACGAGGAGAGCTTTTCATGGTAACCTCAGTTGGTGTCGGAATTGAGCCCATGCTGTTGGGATCATTCTGCTTCACAAACCAGCAACGCAACCAACTGAGCTAACTGATCTCCTAATACCTATTTAAAGGTATTAGCAGACATGCAGTAGGCATATTACAACTTGATACAGGCAGTCTGTTAATTTTTAATTATATAGACAATTAATGATCACCTAGACTTTAAAAAATGTAAAAATCTGGGTTTATTTTTATCTTTCTGTTGTCTCATTGATGTAGTAAAGCTGCAGTGATGCAAGTAAACAAGTAATAAGTTTATAGAGGTGAGGGATTTCAAAAAGGGATATGCTTAGGTATTTAACACTGAAGTAGTATCAATCATTATGTGGACTGTTAACAAACATAGATTAAAATGCTAACTACTGGTATCAGTACAAAATATGTTTCTGTATGAAGTCCCAAATGATCTTCGAGATTTTCCTCACAAGCTTAGTGAATTCTAGTGTTATCCTTGTCTCTATCTCCAAGTTATTTTTCCAGCTTTCTAGCCAGCAAGAAATCTTGAATTCATTCAAATTTCCCCTTTTGTCTATCCTTTCACCTCGTCATTGCTGACTGTGTCGCAAGCCTTTTCAGCTCTAATCTATAAAATTCTCTCCTTACACCTCATTCAAGGATACTGAGCCTTCGCAACAGCACTGCAGATGAAATTTTTGATTCGTTCCACTGCCAATAACTCAATAATTTATTGGATAGAAGTCAAGATTATCCAATAATAGAAATTAAGCAAGGTAAACAACATAGTAATATCAGATGTTAGTACAGGAAATGTGCATTACCATATCAATTGAATTAAATAGACTGTTTACTATGTATAGCCTTGATGAAGTGGGGCTCAAATAATATAAATCAAACAGTTGTCTGCATAAGAGAAAAAAACTTTGCCTGTTTACTTCAGCAATTTCAAAGCATTTATTTAATTCATCCTTTCAGGCTCCTCCTGTATGAGTTTCTTGGTCAGCTGGGTAGCAGACAACCTATTTTCAGATTTTTACCACTGCATCTGTATAGCAAGTCATTTAAATGTGTGGAACTGATCCAGAATGATTGGGCTTTTTGTATCTTCTTATTGTTTCAAACAATGTCCTGATGAACATTGGGTATTTGTGTCCTGTATTATTGAATATATTGGTCCGATATGTCATGCACACCCTAAAACAGCTGGAGAATACAAGGACTGCTTGGCAGCTTGGTCACAAACTAGGCATTAAACTATGTGAATTGCAAAGAAAAGGTAATTGTGGATCACCCAGTAAAATGGACTGGATTTCTGACTTGTATGGCAACCTCATAGTATTAGTTTGGGACAGATACTGTGGCAAGAACACTGCTTTTTTTTTAAACTTCCCTGCTCAACCCATCCCTGTTCTGTTTTACTATCCCCTACTTAACTTTGACAAATTGCTCCCTTAAGTTCCAGCCCCAATGTTTCCGTTGTTTCATGTAATCTTATTGAATTCTTTGAAGAGGTGACCAAACACGTGGATGAAGGTAGAGCAGTGGATGTGGTATACATGGATTTAAGTAAGGCGTTTGATAAGGTTCCCCATGGTAGGCTCATGCAGAAAGTAAGAAGACAAAGGGTAGTAGTGGACGGAAAATATTCATCATGGTGCTCAGTTACGAGTGGTGTATGATAAGGATCTGTTCTGGGTCCTCTTCTATTTGTGATTTTTGTAAATAATTTGGATGTAAGAGTAGAAGGGTGGATTAGCAAGTTTGCAGACGTTATGAAGGTGGGTCAAGTTGTGGATAGTGCAGAGGGCTGTTCTAGGTTACAAAGGGACATTGATAAGATGCAGAGCTGGGCTGACAAGTGGCAGATGGAGTTTAACCATGAAAAGTGTGAGGTGATTCATTTTGGAAGGACAAACTTGAAAGCAGAATGCAGGGTTAAAGGAAAGATTCTTGGCAGTATGGCAGAGCAGAGGGATCTTGTGGTTCATGTCCACAGGGTGGATAGAGTTGTTAAGCAGGCATATGGTGTGTTAGCTTTCATTAATAGAGGGATTGAGTTCAAGAGCCGTGAAGTTATGCTCCAGCTTTACAAAAGCCTGGTTCGGCCACATCTGGAGTATTGTGTCCAGTTCTGGTCGCATCATTACAGGAAAGATGTGGAAGTGTTGGAAAAGGTGCAGAGGAGATTAACCAAGATGTTGTCTGGAATGGTGGGGCAGTCTTACGAGGAAAGGTTGAGAGCGCTAGGGCTTTTCTCTTTAGAACGATGAAGGATGAGAAGTGACTTGATAGAGGTGAACAAAATGATCAGAGGTATAGATAGAGTGGACAGCCAGAGCCTTTTTCCTAAGGTGGAGGTAGCTATTACGAGGGGACATAGTTTTAAAGTGAGTGGAGGTAGTTATAGGGGACATCAGAGAGAGGTTCTTTACTTAGAGAGTGGTAGGGGCGTGGAATACCCGGAGAGGGTAGTGGAGTTGGCCTCATTAGGGGCATTTAAGCGGCTATTAGGTAGGCATGTGGATGATAGTGTAAGGAAGCGGTGGAGGTTAGATAGACCTTAGGTTTAGAGTAAAAGTTCGGCACAACAACGTGGGCTGAAGGGCCTGTACAGTGCTGTACTGTTCTATGTTCTATGCTACATGCTCATGAATAACAAAATTGCATTAATGTGTTTACTTCACATTAGGAAACAAGGTCAACATCAGAGGCAGTGGCTTCATTGCTGCATATTTGGGATCATGAAATGGGCTTCGTTGTCTAAATTCTTTCCCTTGATGTGATGTTGTCTTGCTGGTCCTTTTCTTACAATGACCTTTGTGAATTATTACTAGCATAAAACTGAGACTATAAATAACCAAAACACCTTATATCTTTGATGTTATCTTGTAGTACTTCTAATAATTTAGAAGAATGTGTATCACAACATTTTTAAATTGTCTTCTCAAATTAGGTACGGTTGCTCTTTGGAATCTGAATACTACATCATTATTGTTACGAGTTCAGCAAGGAGATGGAACTTTGAGGGTCTTTCCTTTCCACTCCTTTGTTGCACACGACCATGCTGTCAAAGCCATTGCTTGGAGTAAAGCTCACAGGTAAGAAAACAAGAATGTGAGAAATCAGCTTCAATCTTACGGAATTAGAAATTATCTTTATTTCCTTCCTTTAGCCAAAGGTATCTGGGGATAGCAAACAAAAGCAGGTAAAAACAGTTAGGTTGCAGATCTGTTATGATCTTATTGAATACCGGAACAAATTTGAGGTGTTTAATGGCCTACTCCAGTTCCTATGCAATGCATGTATTTTCTTGTGGTCCTCTGGGCCAATAACCAGGTTCATGTAAAGCCCTTCTTAGGCAAAAGTAAGGATAGATATTAGAAGTTTTACACAGCCCTTATGTCTCTCGTCTGTGTGTCCCCATCTAATGGAAGTATGCTACTCAGCAGTATAGACACGAGGCTATGTCAGACTTGGCATTTCAAATTATTGTAACTAACACTACATTGTTACACAGTACCAATATGACTGACTTAGCTCAGACTTATTTCCAAACATTCTGTTGGAGCTTTGCAATACTTCCTTGGTAGAGATGGTGCAATCATGATAGATTTAAATGTAACGATTCAAGACATATTGTTTGTGGAGAGTAGAAGGAGTTTTATTTTGCATGTGACACATCCCACTGAATTGAAGCATGAAGGAAATAGGAGAAATTAAAAGTTTATTATTCTGTTGAGTATCTATTTACTCAACAGAAAAATATATTTAGAATTTCTCATAACTGACATGCATCATATATAGTGAATGCAAAACAAAAATCCTGATGTTTCAAATACTATTTTTGAAAATTAACTTCGAAACCTCACAAAGTAAGTTAATTGGCAAAAGCAAACTACTGAATGTTTTGATACCTGAAATAAAAATAGAAAATGCTAGAAACACTCAGCAGGTCAGGTAGCAAATTCTTTGGCAAAGTTTATACTGCAATGTGCAATTTCCAGGCTGTGAGAGAAGAGGCATCATTTGAATAAAAATCATTGTTATATTTTCTTCCCATATTTTTTGATGCATGGATGAATAGCATTCGGTGGAATTGTCACTTAGTGAGCCAAATGCAGCAGTTTCTGCACCAAAAGCAAATAGCAAATTGATTAATTTTTCTCCCTTCAGCACTCATTATGCATGTTTCTAAGCATCACAGCTGCAGTTTATAGTATCCTACTTTGACAGATCATGATAACAATCTGACTCCAAATTGTAGCCAATGTTCTACATTTTAAAGAAAAAGTTTGAAGAGAAAGCAAGCTTCAAACATTTTGCATGCTAAAGTTTGATAAGATTTGCAGCTCAGGTTCTGGATGAGGTTGTAGACTTGCTTGTCGAGCCGGCGTGTTTGATTGCAGACGTTTCATCACTCTGCTAGTTAACAGTGCGCCTCCGGTGAAGCGTTGGTGTTCTGCCCTGCTTATTATTTATATGACTCAGTTTGTTGGGGTGGTTGGCATCACATCCAGTTCTGTTTTTCAGTGGTTTGTATATCGAGCCCAGTTTAGTATGTTTGTTGACGGAGTTCCAGTTGGAATGCCAGGCCTCCAGGAATTCCCTAGCATGTCTCTGTTTGGCTTGTGCTATTAGGGATGTGCTGTCCCAGTTGAATTTGTGTCCTTCTTTGTGTGTGTTGAGACCAGTGAGAATTGGTCATGTCTCTTGCAGCTAGTTGGTGTTCATGTATTCTTATTGTGAGTTTTCTTCCAGTTTGGCCTATGTATTGTTTCTCTCAGTCCTCGCATGGTATTTTGTATGTTATGTTTATTGGTTCTGTGTATGGGATCCTTTGCGTTCATCAGTAGCTGTCACAGGGTGGTTGTTGGTTTTGTGGGCTACCCTGATACCTACCTCTTTTCAAGAGTTCCCCATTTTTGATAGGAGGTGCATTTTGCAATAAATTATATCTAATTATGACATCAGAAAGAATACAAATTTATATGAAATGACTGAATTACACTTAGATTTTTAAATACTAATTGTGGGCTCTGTTAAGATAAATTCTTAAAATATTTTTAGCAGAAAGCAGTAATTCAGTGTCAAATGTGGATGAATATAATTATTTAAAAGCATTTTTGAATTTTTCTCTGTGAAATAATTGCACTGTCAATCTCTAAATTTGTTGAGAGCTATAGTGTTAATTGACAACTATCATAATGCATTCTTGGTAAAGGTAAAGTTGCCATAGTCCTACTGAACCATTGGGCTACTGTCTTATTAGAGAGAGATGACTCATGGTGGTTTTAATAGGAAGTTGAACCTGAGCGTCACCATGACTCATGCGGGGGGAGAAGTTGAGAAGGTCAGCAGGAGTTGAACTCTCACTGTTAGCATTACTCTGCATCATAAACCAGCCATCAAGCTAACTGAGCTAACCACCTTTCTTGACTGAAACAATAGGGAGACAGTGCCAATAGGGTAATCTGATAAGAAAATAAGATTAACATAAATTATTGTGCATAGTTATGTTCATAATGAATTACAAGTGACATTTAAGCACCATAGCCTCTATATGTAATTTATTAATTACATTTTAAGATTTTGCTCATAGTGGTGAAATTTACTTTCTCTCAAATTGTCTGCTGATAGCAATTTTCTAGTAACAGCTAGCCCTGACAGGAAGATCAAGTTCTGGGATCTCAGAAGAACATATCAACCAATCAATGAAATTAAGCGTTATTTGAACACAGAGGTTGCCTGGTTGCTTCCATGGTGTGGAGTTATGGTAGCACAGGAAAATTGCTACGCTGCGTAAGTGTCAACTGCCTTTTGGGCTAACATTTAAATGTGGAAATTGATTTATATAATTATGTAATACATAGAGGGCAGTGTTAATAAGCTTATTTACTTTCACCTAATTAAGTTTTTAATTTTTAGTCAGGTCTTCATGAATATATATGTACCAATTTGCAATGTAGAGTTACCAAATAAAGGATCGCTAAAGAAACACAAACGACTATTTTTTTAAAAAGATGTGCAAATAAAACAAGGGTGATGTGAGAAAAAGACTTTTTTGCTCAGTGAGTAGTTAGGGTTTGGAATGCATTGCCCAGAAATGTGTTGGAGGCAGGTTCAATTAAGGAATACAAGTGGGCATTGAATGATTATTTGGACTAAAATAATGTGCAGGGAATGTGGGGATAAGGCCAGAGATTTTTCAAGGAATTAGAACTGGTGCTGGCATGAGGGATTGAATAGTCACCTACTGTACCATAGTAATTCTATCATTCTGTGATTTAGGGTATTTATGACGTTTATGTAAAGTGTTTTTTGAGTCAGCATCTCGGTAATTGAGTAAAGCAGGAATCAATAGGAGATTTAAAAAATCAAACTAAACTAGCAAGTGCAGAATAGGAAACTTTTTTGTTTCTCTTCATTGACTTATTTCTATTTGGTCCCCCAAATAGAATTCAAAATGAAACTTTTCATTGTCTATCTATCATTTTATGAATGTATTTCTTAACTTGCTGCATTTCTATGCATTTATAAATTGAGAACAGAAAGGCTTTTGAAACATGTATCATATTTATCAACCTATGTATAAGAATATTCTATATAACATTCGAAGTATACTGTTGACTTATGATCTGATCTATAATAAGGTTCAAAAGCTAGATGAAGTTCTAATAAATCATTTAACCTGTCTACCATTATACTCCGAAAACCACAGACAAGCTTTATGTTGCTAAAACTGTGTATGCTCAAAATATCTACGCAAGACCCAAGAAATTTTCCTTTTACAGGTTTGGACTCAGTGGAATTCACTACGTAGATGCTGGTTTTCTTGGATTTAAGCCATATTTTGCTGCACCAAGAGCAGGAACAGTGTGGGTAAGTTTATTTATTGTTTTAGAGTCAGTAAAGTATATTTAAAGCAGTTACTTAAGAATCTAAATGAAGTAGAGGAAGGTAGGATTTTGAGTACAAGTACACAAATCATTAAACATAGAGATACAGGTCAACAACGCCATTTAAAGAAATGCAAAATACCTCTTCTTAGTTTTAGAAATAATGCCTAACTTGTTTCAGACTTTGCTGAAATCACATCAGAATTGCTGTGTATAATTTTGGTCTTCATATTATAAAAATTTATTGAGGTTGTTAAACTAATTTACAAGAATGGCACCAGAAATGTAGGGGTACCTGTCATAAGATGATAAAGTTTTTCTCTTGGAAAATGGGTGATCTAAAAGAGTCCTTTGAAATTGTAAAAGGTTTTAATACAAAAGGCAAGATTTTTCTGCTTATGGAAACAACAAAACTAGAGACCATCAATATAAGATAGAAGTTAAATAAAGAATTCAGAAGAAACTTGTTTATACAGACAATGGTGAGATATGAGCTATGTACCTGGGAGAGTATTTGAAGTGAATAGATTAGATGCAAAAGTGAAAAAATAAGAGTAGACCGGGGAGATAATTTTCTAGTCAAGGGCAATTGTCTGTTTTCCCATGCTCTGAAGATTTTTACCTATTCAAAAATACAGTAATAATTATGAAAATTATTTTATTATGGCCTTCTTAAAAGTCATTAATGGTGAATTTGTACAATCATGTTCTGTTCTACATCTGATCTGCCCTTGCTGAGTTTGGTTACTGAAAAGAGCAAAAATATATCTGTTAAAGCAAATAATTTGGTGTGACTTGACCAATTTCACAAATTTTTGCAATTACCTCATGAACAAAGGTTTGAAAGTCCAGGGTATTTGATCCTGATAGGTGTGAGGTGATGCACTTTGGAAGAACAAACAAGATGAGGAAGTATTTATTAAATGTCAGGACACTGGGTCAGAACAAAGGAACAAAGGAATCTTGAGGTAATTATTCACCAGTCCCTGAAGTCCGCAGAGCAGGTGAATCGGATAGTTCAGAAGGGATATGGGACATGTGCTTTCACCAGTTGTGGCATAGTGTAGAAGAGAAGGGAGATAATGTTGGAGTTACATAGAGTGTTGGTGAGGCCACAGCTGGAGTACGGTATGCAGTTCTGGTCACCTCAGGAAGGATGTGATAACACTGGATCGGATACAGAGGAAGTTCACCAGGATGTTGCATGGAATGGAGAAATTTGAGCTGTAAGGAGAGACTAGATAGGCTTGGATTGTTTTCTCTAGAGCAGAGAAGACTGAGGGGGCACATGACTGAGGTGTATGAACATGGTGAACAGAGAGCAGCTGGTCCCCTTGGTTGAGAGGTCAATCACAAGAGGGTATAGTTTTAGGGTAAGGGTCAGGAGAGTCAGAGGGGATTTGGGAAAAAATATTTTTGACTCGGCGAGTGATGGGAATCTAGAATGCACTGCCTGGGAAGGTAGTGGAGGCTGGAAACCTTACAGACTTTAAAAAATATTTGGATGCGTACTTGCAATATCATAACATTCATGGATTTGGACAAGTGCAGGAAATTAGGATTAGCACAATTTTAGTGGTAGTTATGTTGGTGCAGAATTGATGGGCTGAAGGGCTTTTCTGTGCTGTATGAATCTATGATTTAAAAAATAGTAAGGAAACCAAAGGATATGCCTTTATGGTCTCTGGATGACCCAAAATGTTTTACACCAATTAAAGTACTTTTTCTGAAGTATAGACATTGCTTTAATTATGGTGATAATTAATGAATTATAGCAATTAATTTGCCCAACTATTTTTTGTCTCTGGTATCTTCTAAGTTCTTAACAAATATTCTTTTAAAAATACTTTCAAAAATCCCTTTACTTTAAGGAATCCCATTCCACAATTTTCTGATAATATCGCTTTCCTCTCTGCCTTGTCTGCTGGCCCAGGAAATAGCTTTTCCAGGAATTGCAGAAATTTTTTCAATATAATTTTCATCATAACATTTCTGTCATAGGAGTCATTATATCCTTATTGAACATGGTTGAAGTTGGAAATGCTGCAAAACTGAGGAATTAACCTGCTTTATTGGAGCTGAACCTGTATGTTTCCCTACTTTGTGGCATTGCACATTATCTTGCATGTGAATTATTAGTATACAGTACTAATAACCTGCCTCTGCCCCAGCTACTGTCAGTTTTTGATTCAAGATGTACATGCTTATAAATCTGTCTGAGCCTCTTGTGTTTTTGAAATACTTCTCCTCATTTCAAGGAAAGGAAATCCCCAGCAGATTAATATTCAGTTAATTACTGTCTATATATTTTGATTTTTTTTGTTCTGTTAATGATCTTGTTTTTGTTTTCGGCTTGTAGAGTATTTCTGGCTCTGATTGGTTGAATACCTGCGTCTCGGGAGATAACACAGGAGAGGTGATTGCTGTAATCCTCCCAGATTGTATGAACAACACCATGAATATCAAGCGACCTAATGAGCGGCGTTTTGTAAGTATATATTAACATGTTGGCCCATTTAAGGTAGAGATGATGATTTTGGGAGTCTTTGTAAATCTCTTCTCTAAAAGTAGTAGAAAACACATCTATGAATAGTTTCAAGGCAGAGGCAAATACGTTCTCCATGAAGAAGTGGGTGAAAGGTTATCAGGAGTAGGCAGGAATGTGGAGTAATCAGATCAGTCAATATCTTACTGAATGACAAAGCAAGCTTGATGGGCCAGGTAGCATATTACTAATTTGTATGTTTGATGTTTAAGACACTTAATTCACAATCATTGGAAGAAGCAAACAGGTTAATTTGGCAAGTATGTAAAACAGAATATAAACTACATTAAAAAAATGCCAAAATGCAAAAGTATGAATAATTTGACAAAGCTTTGTTTTATTCAAAGCCAATAAATAAGTGTTTGTTCGTTTTTATGTAATCCAGCTCATGTGCTAAGATTATAGCAATGGAGAGTTTTGATTGTAAAAACTACTTTCAAAACAGAAAGGAAATGTTCCAAGGAAAGAATTTCAATAAATCCCAGATAAAATTTCAGTTTTTAATTATATACAATTCTTTATTTTAACTGCAAATGTGTATATTGGCTATATAATTAAATCTGTATCTAACGTGTATCTGCAATCTTCCACCTTTCCGTACAGTATTGGCCCCTAGGGGCATGGAAACTCAGATATTTCATTTCAAAGCACCACAGGTTTATAGGACTGGTTTTGATAATCAATTATTTATTAAATTAATGAAGAATATCCAACTGGCCAAACGTTAATGAATCAATGAAGAATGCATCCAGTTCCCCAAGTAATTACTAAAAACAGGCTTAAATATCTTTAATATACTCCTCTTAATGTATTGTGTTGTTAGTTATTCACTATTATTTTTGTGCAGCCTGTTTATAAAGCTGACCTCATTCATCACAATGCTGGCAGTAACATTTCAGTCTCCTGCTTACATCAAAAAGAGAAAGAGGCCAATGTCGAAAAGCATTCTTCTGAAATGGAGGAGGAAGATTCAACTTCCAGTCCTGTCATTGAACCAAAGACTTATAATGATACAGTGAAGAAATACTACCTAATGTTTGACGATACTGACTTGGTGAGCAAAAGTAAATCTGTATCATACTTAATTCAGTATTGTGCTGAGAGGCATTTGCATTAGGCCTTGCATAATATGCTAAGTGCTAAGGTCTATGTGTATATACAGATGTGCACTCTTACGTATGTCTGCCTGTGTAATTCCTGTTTTTATCTCCTTCCGCATGTCATATGTTAGTGATGTATCGGTAGGTTTTAAGTCTTTGCTGCTGGATTGCTAACAATTTTAAAACTCTATTTTAAGGTAGTAGTTTATATAAAATACATTTCAATGTCAGCAACCAGTGGATTATATTTTAAAATGTAATCCTTTGGTACATATGGAAAGAATTACATTGGATGCAACCCATTGACCAAGTTGCCTTAGCTGAAATGTTTCAGCTGCTCAGAAGATGCATTACACCAGTATAATTAATCTCATCAGGTGGAAATCTTCACCTGCATTAAATTGTTGTTTGAACTTGAATAAGGTATACCTCTGATTATGAGGACTATGGAATTATATTTTCCTTCTCAGTGTCAGCTTTACTTTCCCACTACCAAAATAGGCTGCCTGTTAAACAGATTTTCTAACTAAGCCATTAATGTTGAAACTTAACTGAAATTAAAAACAAACCCTTTGAATCCAGCTAGCTCATCAGTGTGCTTTATATCAAAAAGTTTAATTTATCAAGATGAGTGATGTTTGTCTTGGGGATACTGCAGGCAGGTAATCAGGAGGAGCACTTGGTGTGCCACAAAAATAAAGTAAAAAGCATTTTGGGCTGTTTTTGGATGGTCTATAGCTGTGCCTGGCTACTCTGCTGCATATCAGTCCTGATGGAGAATTACCAGGCTTGAAAAGTTGACTGCTTTCTCCCCACAGATGCTGCCAGACCTGCTGAGTTTCATCAGCTGTTTCTGGCTTTGTTTCAAATCTTGAGCATTGGCATTTTGTATTTATTTAAAAAAATGTCCCTTGCTGTTTGAAAGGATGTCAGAGTTATTCTTTGTTTGTTTGTTTGTTTAATTTCAGAAACTAGGAGGGAATGCTCCATGAGTTATGTCAGGAGATGAAGCTAGATAAGAAGCTTGTTGAAATAAATTGAGAAGATGGGCTAGATTATGGCGGCAAGTGGGATGAGGTCATAGGGAAGAGTTAGATGTTAAGGCTGGGGAAGGTAAATCTGCAGATACTGAGCAACAGTGGGGTGAGCAGAGGTGAGAAGGAGAATAGTGAAATGGTTAATCAGAGTTGCATGGGACTGAAATCTTTCTGCATTCGTCCCATATCCCTCCAAACCTTTCCTATTCATGTACTTACTCGAATGTCTTTTAAATGTTGTAACTGCACCTGCGTCCACCACTTCCTCTGGCAGTTCATTCTATACATGAACCACTCTTGTGTTTAAAAAAAAAAAGTTGCCCCTCATATCCTTTCTAAGACTTTCTCCTCTCACCTTTAGAAATATGCCCCCTCATTTTGAACTCCCCCACCCTAGGGAAATGACTCTTGATATGCCCTATCTTATCCCTCACGATTTTATAAACATCAATAAGATCACCCCTCAACCTCCTATGCTCCAGTGGAAAAATCCAGCCTCTCCAGTCTATATTTTTATAACTTGAATCCTCCATTCTTGGCAACATCCTGGTAAATCTTTTCTGGACCCTCTCCACTTTAATAATATACTTCCTACAGCAGGGTGACCAGAACTGCGCACACTACTCCAGAAGAGATCTCACCATGACACCCCAAATCCTATATACTCAAAGGTCTGAGCAATGAAGGCAAGCATGCTACATGCCTTCTTAAGTAGAGGGAAGAGAGAAGTAGCTACAGTATTGTCATAGGAAAAATGCTGAATCAGATTTATTCTCACAATAATAGGAGTGCCACAGTGTCATTTTTGGCAGAAGTATTGATCAGGACTCATTGCACTTTATTGCATCAGTCATTATAATTGATCATTTGAAATGTTATTGAGTTATCTCACATTTTCCTGATTGGCACAATGGTGTGCCAACATTCTAACAACAAGAAGGGTACAAACAGGAATTTTAACACACTGTAGATTAATTGTTTGGAACACACTGTAGCCTCAAAATAATGGTCATGCTCATTTCATCAAATATACTTGTTGCAAGGTAAGTGTTTGAATCGCAATAATTTTTATAACTACTACATGTATTCTATGTGAATAAAGTGTTGCTCAGTTTTGAATTGGATCTTTCTTTAGATAAAATTCTGGAGCATCAACATTTGGGAGCTGACTCCATCATTTCTGCTACTACTTTTAACCTCCCTTTTTGCCTGATGTTTCCACGAAGCTGATTAATCACTTGTACCTCTTCTAATCCTTCTACCTTTAAGTCTGTCACCACGTCTTTTCAGCTAGTTTTAAGCCTTCCTGTCCTCCTCTTTCCTCACAATGCCATCTCCATCACTAATCTGCATCACTGAAGCTAATAAATTTAGCTTCAGCAGAATCGTAGAGCCACAAAAAATTTTGTGCACATTTCTGTTTTTTAAAAAACTCTACATCTAGTAAACACTGGAATTGGTTCATAGTTGGTGCAGAGAATTTTCTAGAAACTAACCGAGTTGTTAACCAGATTACCAATATTAAAGAAGCTGCCACGAATGTTTTAGTTGTCAGTAGCGCTATAACTGGTGGGATTGGAGGTAACAATGAACAGGCAGATGATAGCATGAGTTCAGTCTGTTGAATTCAAGGGAATATTTAACTACTTGTAGCTATTGGTATAACAATTTCAGTTGAAATTTTCCCTAAGAATGTTAAGCATTTGGTGTGGTGGTAATTAATGAAGATTTTAAATGATGTACTTCGTAAAAGGAAAAGCACCCAAATAGTAGTGAAGTCAAGGTTTGCCTTGAAAATAAACCTTGACACTGCTAAAACAGGTTGAATGGTGCTAGTGAAGAAATAATATAATAAAACAAAGAATCGCAGATGCTGAAGATCTGAAACAAGAGCTGAATTTGCTGGAGAAACTCACTATCTGGCAGCATCTGTGGAGAGAAAGCAGAGTTAATGTTTCAAGTTCGGTGAACCTGCTTCAAATAATATTGTTTGGGAGACTTTGCAGATGGCAAGGAGCTTTTGAATATGAACCATGTTTTGTTGCTGTCATAATGTCGTTAATGGTCCCTAAAGACTGAATAAGCATAAAAAAGACCTTGCTTATTAATGAACATTTGGAGGCAGATATGAATTGGAGATATTTGTGCCTTGGTGGGACTCAAATGCTGGCCCAGTACTATCACATAGAACGTTCTGGTAGAAATGGTATCCTGATGTATTTTATGCTGATGTGCAATGGTGTTCTAATTGTAAGCTACTCAACCATGCAAAAGCTTATAGAATTGGTATTTGCTGTTGAGAAACCAAGATGTACAGAATCTTTTATTGTGTAAAGGTACGTACAAAATATATTTGGTCATTAATGTTTATGTATTGCTACATTCAAATGCCTAGTGACATGAGTTAACATTGGTAAAGACGACTGGAGGCAATAGGATATGCTTTATACGCCCTTGAGTCCTGTAAAGGAAAAAGCATTTACTGTTCTCTGGATTCCAGTCAACAGGAGTGGAGTGGAATAGAATACAACAGATGGCATACCCTGGGCTGAGAGAGATTACTTTTTACACTAATGAAGGATGAAGCAGTTGACCAACAGAGTGCCTGTCAGATCAGCCATTAATGCCATCACTATACCTCATTTTAGTAGTACTGCATGTTCTTAGATCAAAGCTGCTCACTGAAGTGCACCACTAAGACAACCAAGATAACAAATTATGTTACTTTTCTCAACTTTAAAGATGCTTAATTGCAGCAGTAAATCCAAGGATATTTTCGAGGTCTACATAATTCAGAAGTAAATTCCAGTAACTGCCCTTTTCATTGAGCTGAATTTTTGGGGCATTTGAAGTTCAACAGATGAATAAGATGTCAACAAATGCCAAATTCACTTGGTTACCATGTGATTGATCATATTTCCCAGGGGGGAAATCTGGAGCTAAATGTATAGTTGATTTTGTAACAATGGTATGTTATACGTAGAATTTACATTATTGCGTCTTTCTCTTTGGTAGCTAGCTGTATCAACAAAGATGGTGAAATAATTTGGGGAACTCCTTTTTATTAAGTCAGCAGTTGTTAAGCAGATTTGGTTATACAAATGTAGCTCTGTATAATGTAACCATCAAATAATACGGTTTAAACAGGTACTGAGCCTGCAAATTGAGAGCCTGTACCAGTACAGCCAAGTGGGTCACAGAGGCATCAAGATCTAGAACTAGGAAGTAGTCTCTGGCAAATTCAGAGCAGAGTAGCTTCAATATTTCCAGTGTTTAGCTACAGAAATGCTAGATCATCCCAACTTGATAATTACTGATGCAGTCAAATATGAAGACAACCATAGAATTGAAGGAAAAAAACAAAAGAACTGTGAATGCTGTAAATCAGGAACAAAAACAAAGTTGCTGGAAAAACTCAGCAGGTCTGGCAGCATCTGTGAAGGAAAAAACAGTTAACGTTTCGAGTCCGGTGACCCTTCCTCAGAACTGTTATAGAATTGAGGGCATTAGTGAAGAAGTAAAGTTGCGTATCATTTACAAATATATACAATAGCTATGTGAATACATTTGCGTATATGTATGTGCATATATCTTTAGTATTAAACATACGTACGTGAATTTATGTGAGAATGTATACATGTTTGATCATATGTGTAAAAGTAGCTAATATTTATATAATACATTTAACATAGTGAAGCATCCCAAAGAACTTAAGGGTAATAGGAATAAAAGACTAAGCTATAGAAAGAGATATTAGGCTAGATGTCCCAAAGCTTGAACTAAGGTATAACTTTTAAGGAGCGTTTTAAAAGCTGAGAGGCTGAGGTAGAGCATTTCAGAAATATGGGACAAGGTATTTGAAAGCACATCTGCTAGTGGGGGAGTGATAAATATCAGACATGATCATCACGACATAATTGATAGTGCAGAGGCATTGACAGCTTGTAAGATTGGAGGAGGTTATGGAGAGAAGGACGGGC